CCTCGTAAGACTGCTTTCATTGTGTCCCATAGATTCCAATATGTTGTATTGTCATTGTCATTTAATTGAAGAAACTGTCTGATTTCTTCTTTTTTTCCTGTGTGAGCCTTTGGTTATTCAGAAGTGTGTTGTTCAATTTCCATGTGTTTATGAAATATTTGCGGTTTCTTTTGCTATTGATCTCCAGTTTCATCATACTATGTTCTGATAATATACAGGGGATAACTTCAATTCCTTTGCACTTACTTAAATATGTTCTATGAGCAAGTATGTGGTCTGTGTTGGAGAACAACCTGTTTGTAGCTGAAAGGATTGTGTATTCTGATTTGGTGGGGTGGAACACTCTGTAAACATCTGTTAAATTCATTTATTCAAGAGTATGATTGAGTTCTAGTATTTCATTGCTTGATTTTTGTCTAGTTGATCTGTCTATTTGTGACAGTGGGAAATTGAGGTCCCTCACTATTATTGTATTAGTGCTTATTTGATTTTTCATTTCTGTTAGTATTTGTTTTATATAGTTGGGTACACTAGTGTTTGGTGCATAGATATTTATGATTGTCGTCTCTTCCTCTTGGATTGTTCCCTTTATAAAGATGTAGTATCCTTCTTTGTTTCTCTTAATCAGTGTTGGTTTGAAATCCACTTGATCTGCAAAGAGGATAGCTACTCCTGCTTTTTTTCAGGTTCCTGTTGCGTGGAGTATTGTTTTCTACCCTTTAACTTTCAGTCTATGAGTTTCTTTTTGAATTAAGTGTGTTTCCTGTATGCAGCATATGTTGGATCTTCCTTCTTGCCCCATTCTGCTAGTCTGTTTCTTTTGATTGGTGAGTTGAGACCATATAACCATTGATGGTTATAACTGATATGTATTGACTTATTCACTGTCATGATGTTTTCTTTTTGTTGGATCCTTCCCCTTTGGATTTAATTTCTTGTCATGCCCAATGGATTCATTCTGCTGTGCTTCCTGGGTTGTGATCCTCATTGTCTTTTCCTAGGATATTGTCTAAAATTTTTTGGAGTGCTGGTTTGGTATTTGTGAAGTTTCTAAGGTGCTCTTTGTCATGAAAGTATTTTATTTCTCCATCAATTTTGAAAGATAGTTTTGCAGGTACATCAACCTGGGTTTGAGGCTGTTTTCCTTTAAGCCTTGGAATATGTCACCCCAAGCTCTTCTTGCCTTGAGGCTTTGTGTTAAGAAGTCTGCTGTGATTGTGATGGGCTTTCCTTTG